TCGGAGGAGGATTCGCTTAAATACCTTTCCCACACACGCAGAAGCGTGATTCCGCCTTAATAGATGCAGGCAGAACGATTCTCCCGTTTGAATATGGGAATGGTCACGCTCTGCATCCAATTCTCAGGAGTTTCCAACTTCCGCAAGATACTGTTTAAAGTAAGATAGATCCAGTTGAGTAGGGTTTCGCCTGGGCGCTTCAGAATTTTCTCACTAATCCTCTAATGCCCGCAAGATTTACAACTTCGGCAGAGACGCATGGCTTCTCGAATTTCTCGACTTTTGATAGAAACAGAACAGTAAATTTCAAGTTCTTTCCGACCTTCGAACTCTATTTCCAGTTCATCCACTGGATATTGTTATTGTGACTGTTGAGTAGTTGTAGATGTTTCTTGACCTTGGTTTCGAACCTGGAAGGATTGGACCAAGGCCTGTCAAACTGGAAGACGATTACAGTTGCGACCTGAAGGGGATGTTTGAACTATTCACTGAAACGTCTTTTCACACGCTTGTCACTTCGTCAAAGGACCTTTATGCAGTACAGCGTTTTTCTCTTCGTGCGTGGCCAACTTTGTTCGACCATTTGCTGAAAGCTAACGCTGAACCTCACTGGCATGTCAGTTGCCTAAATTGGATCCCCAACATAGAACAAGAAAAAACGATGGGCAGCAAATCACGTAGCAAAGGAAAATAAATGGAAATCTGTTCTCGTTCTGAATCCTTAATTGCATCGAAGCAATAAACAGTTAATACTATAACGCGAGACGTTGAAATGAGCGGAGTTAGCGAATTTTATGCAAGCGGCACTTTGCTGTAAATACTGACGCTGGGACAAAAGTTGTAATTTTTAAAAGTTGTTGTTCTGTAAGTAAATAAACATGGGACAAATGACCACTGACTTGCGGTTGGATCTTTTAGTCTGGGAAACTCGAATGAAAGTGTCAACTACTTCTTCAAACTTCTATTAAGCTACTTTTTGCATTTTAATTGCTGTGCATCACAAGCAAGGCTCCTGGTTTACAACAGGATTTTATTGTCACCACCCTCTTGTTCCACCATGTTTTGAAAATGACCAGTTGACAAAGCACGTTGCATAGCTTGCATGCGGGACAAATGGTATATTTTTGCTTTGCTTTCACTGAATAAGGCCTGCTGTTTCATGACCTTAAGTGATTAAATCTTCTTCCTATTATTCATCGTCTTCATAGCGTATGACTCATCCAACGCCAAATTTCATCGCCCCTTTCTCATAGTTGCTTAGAAGGAGCCATTTAAGTAGGCTGCATCACCACATATATCAGCACAATTTTGTTCGCTACAGCGCCGACTTGCGCTCATCACGACCTATGTTCAGGAGTTTGTACTCTTTATATATATCCTGTCGCTTAAACATCAAAGTATGTTCATGCCCCGGAGTATGCGAGATAGTTCCTATCTTTTCCTATGCCAATGGAGCTATACAATATCCGATATACTCCTATGTACGAACATGCTTTGGTGTTTTTCCTCTTCGTTATATTTTGTGTACTTATTATTTTGAATTGCAGTTAAAGTTTGGTATTCCACTTTGATGATTTATATTTGTTTCAGGCTCTTCAGGCATACGCAAGAACAGCCCATTTCGTTTGAGTATGTTTTTCTGGCACCACGATAGTCCCACATCATCCGATGCGGCTCCTAGCGGTTCGTTTTGGCAGTCATCGAACTCGGACGCTCTGCTGCGAAGAAGTTATAGTACCAATCACACGTCGTCCCATCTAAGCGTTTCGAACCGCAGCTTGAGCATGGTCCGAAATGCGCTGTCTAACAGTCTTCGATGGATTCATCTTTCTAGTGGCTCCAGCCGGAGTTCTCGCAGTGTCTTCACGATCGAACCAAGTAAGCGTCGAATAGCGTTTAAAATTTATTGCCCCAGTAAAATCATCAACGATTCTTGTTTGGCGATATAAATTAAATAGCAATAGAAATTAATATTAATTAAACCAAATAAAGTTGCAGGACTAATTCATTTACAGTTGTGCAAACGAAATGACTTGCCAGTGAGGTAGCAATATTCTATTCAGTGGAAGAAACTGGCGAGGTTAAAATACTCCAACACTTCATGATACGAACGGCCAATTAAATGCCAGCTCTTCGACCGTATCATGTTAATCATCACATGGAAATGACGTCTTGTATGTTATGTTTGTTGAGATGATCGTCTTATGCCGTTTGCGTAAGAAGAACACCTCTAGATCGTGATATTTGCTGTATTCATGACCTCTTCAACCTTGCTCTCGGTCACCATTACTGCATTCGTTGAAAGCAATATTCCTCTGAAAGTGTATCTACCTCTACCTTGTTCCTCCTTTTTGTATGCTGGCCTCTTGGACTGCGTCTGCCGTGTTTCGGCTTCCATACGATAAGTTCACGGGCTGGAGTAAATGGTGTGCGTTCATCCAGTTTTCCTAACACGACAAACTTCTTTTTCTTAATCTTTACATTTACTGAAAACGCCCCTGTGCCCGTAAAAGAATACAGTCTTTCCATACGTGGTCTCATCATTTAACCTTCATTATTCATCGAAGCGAACGCTGTTGTATGCTATTTAATCGTCGTTCTTGCTCCTTCAGTAGAACAACTGTTTCATTGCCGTACCACAGCACTGACTTAACAAGGTACAGGTGTATTTTCGTGGCTGGCGTAACTTCTCAACCCAAATATTTGACACGTTTCCAAAAGCACTTGAGGCTAAGGAGATACTCCTGTGTAACTCAGATTAGATATTTCTATTGTTGGAAATGTTGGATCCTAGGCGGTTAAATTTGTCAACCTCCTGAAGCGTTTAATCTCCCTGTCCCACCTTTTGGTCGACCGTACACGTTGAATTGCTCATGATTTTTTCTTTCCGGGCTTGCTCAGTTATGTTGCATGCGGGAGCTGTCAGAAAATAAGCCGTTTCCCGTACTGCTCACCGGAACAGTTTCGCCTGCGTATGGCAGGTCAACATGATATATAGATGGATATCTTGAACTGCGCCTTCCCTCCAGAATGAAACCTTCGTTCTGTTCAAATTCAGCACTGGTTCAGAGAATATAGTCGAGAAATTTAACTATTATAGGCTAGCGAAAGCACATCCTCGTGGCAGACATCATTAATAGGGAATTACTCAGATAACTCCCCATCAGCTCTGACAGTAGACATAGTTCCTGCATGCATTTCTTCCAAAATGGGAACCATGTTCCCAGGTATCCCATAACATTTCTAGATATTCCACACTGTCAGACGATGTATTGAATCAAATAAAGGGAGGTTAAAGTTGCGGGAACTAGCAAACTAAGGCAATTGGAAGCGTCGGGATTACGGAATGAAAATTTGGTCACTGAAGTAGTACCCCAGTACCCCCACGTGAAGCCGGCTTGATTTCGACAATGTCTTTCATCACCTCTCTGCCTCAGCCTTTTCACGGGAATCGTGTAGGAACATTTCGAGATTGTTGACAACAGCGTGATACCACGATAATTAAAACACTCGGTTATCTCACCTCCTTTAATATATGCACGATTACAACGCTTTTATTCTTCGTGAAAACGGTTGTACGTCCACATTTGAATCCGCAGAGCATTAAGCTTGTTTAGCACTCTCGTTTTTCCAACTCCTGTGGAATTGCATCCATCCAGCTGGCCTTCTAAATCTTAAGGTGTGGCAAGGCTTTTCGAATTTCTACTTTTGTGGACGGATCTCTGTTAATATCTAGCGTTAGTACAGAATTAACGATCGGAAATCTGGACGAATCTGGAGGACGGCGGTTGAGCAGCTGCTGAAAATGCTCACCCTGTCTTTATAAGGCGTTCCTTCTGAGTTGCCAGTGGGACACCTCTGGCATCTCTTGAATAAGAACAGACCAAGTCCCATGCTTACTTCATAACCGTCGTGCTCCTTTGAACACTACTCACCATATCATTCTTTATGGCTGCCTTATTTTTGATTTTCTTGATTTCATCCCTCAACCAAAGTTACATGTCCCACCTATAGCTGCGGTTGACTGCACGAACGAGATGGCGATGAGTTGCATTCGAATGGGGTGTTGCAAGTAGTCCTTTGCATGATGCCTTTGCATGTTAATGACTAAGGTCTTCGTAACCCAGGGCAGTTTGGCTATTCTCTTTTTGACCCAAGCTACGTTTTTCGCCGAATACATCGCCGCTTTTTTGAAACTTTCAAGAGCTTAATGGACTTTCCAACAGGGTGCTAATAAAGTCGTTAAAATACTTACATTTTAGCCTCTCAGCATCGAACAGCTGGCGTGTTTCAACCGGACAGTGTCCGTGTGATACGGCTAATTTTAGACGAAGTTCGACATAACGATCATATAGTAATCAAATTCATTGCAGGTGCCATGCCTGACGCAAGTCTCGAGTAATGAGCTGCGTCATTTACGGACAATGAGGTTGTGGTGTAGCTGGGTGTTTAGGCTTTCATGGGGGGGAGGAGGGTGTGCAATTAGTTTGGTGAATACGCTTATGGCGGAAAAACGTCCCGCTGACGTTTAGTTGTTTGTGGCGCAAACCTAACAGACGCTTGCCGTTGTCATTCGTGCTGTCAATACTGTGACAATTTAGTACGTCTGGCCATGTGCTTTAGTCAGCGGCAACGCTCGAGTTGAGGTAGCTTGTTACAGCTATTAGGTCGTTACGTGACGAATCACTAACAGCTGACTGCAGCCAGTCATAGACAGCGTCCTTGTCGATGTCACTGGACACGTTTGTGTGAGCACTGGTGACAGTGACATTCAGCATCTCCTGTTTCGTATTCATGCGACACACCAAGATTATCTCCGACACCTGTTCCACCGAAATGTCTTCCCGGTTTACCCTGCAGGACAGGAGAGTACTCACACCTGCACGGCGCAGTCTACTGACCACCAAAATGACCACTGCACAAGTGTTTTTGAGGTGATACACTACGCCGTGTTATTGTTGTAGTTGTAGGGCTTCTTTCTTATTCTTGTCCTTAATTAATAGACGGTTGGAGGCGTACATAATTATTTCAGCATAGTTACCTC